TGCGATTGAGGAAGGAGAGATTATTTCTGTGTAGTAGTTTTACGGTGGGTGAAAGAGGGTAGGGAGTGAGGGAGTGGAAAGGGGATGGCCAGGCGGTGGTATTCGACGGCAGTGATGGCTTGGTGCAGGGCTCAAAACTGAGCTCCTCGGCAGTTCCACCACGACGCTCAAAACGTTCACAAGTGAACCCCCCCACAAATCGGTACAAAATCAACATTTGGTTTGCTCGTGTGTCATTGTTTATTCCGCCAGATACCTCTCATCAGTGGACTATTCTCCAATATTTATCCATCTCCAGTATTCATTGATTCATCATCATTGATCGGTGAGTTGAGTACGAGACTTTAACGTTAATCATTTGTTTCAAAGTCGTTTAATGGTCTAGTACATTTTTCACGTCACAATGCTTATCCAATCGGTCAATGCCTCGGGTGTTACATGGATGCCACGAGGCAACCGGTGATGTATAACTAACGTAACAGTTTTTGCCAAAAAGGAGAAAGAGAAAAAATACGAAATGAGAGGAATATCCTGTTTTCTCCTTGCTCTTTATATTCGGGGCGTGAAACTCCATTTGTAAGGAATACCCGATTTTATCTTGTGACACGAGACTTGCATTAACTCCACAACTGCTGGGGGAATTTACGATGCTGACCAGTTACACCATCACTTTTCGCCAGTTTATTTTTATTTTTATCATTTTTTCGCCTCTCGTTCATATCCTTCCGTCTTCCCTCGATTATTTTCACTCTCTGTTTTTGTTTTATTTTGATAAAGTCTCACTTGAATATCACTCGGACTGTTGTAAATCATTTTAAATGGGAATAATGGGTGGTTTTGTTTGTCAATTGGTCAGGGGGATAATAGTTGTGAATTGAAATTTTTCGTCCTTGACACTTTAAATCCCTTGGGCTGTGTTCGAGGCTGAAGTAGCGACAGTTGGATCTCGTACACGTGATACATTATATTCTTTGGATAATTTTGCAAGTCTCGAGAACACAACAGGGGCTTCTCTTTCTCCTCCACCCTCTTGACCCTGACAGCTGGCAATGAGCAAATAACACCTGTGCTAAAACACCACAAGTATTTTTCGTACAGCTTTCTTCAAAATTTTTCCCAGCCACTTGTACATTTATTTAAACCCCTACATTATCCTAACTCTCAGGCCATTATGCTCTATTAGTAAATCCACCACTAGGCATAATGTCAATTAATTATAATCATTGATGTTATAAAAATGAAAAGAACTGGCCTAAAATGTTCTGAAAATGATTGCTAACCTCGACATTAATGATCCCTGTGGGATGGAACTCGGAGTTTTAACGGTAATAATTACGGCTATTCTGTTTTGCGAGTTGAAATGACAGGAGTAATGCAGACGTCGACACTTCCTTTAATCAATTAAGCGAATGTCTTCCGGTTGTTCATAAACATCTATCATCGTGATCGTTTGTGCGGCCGAACGTGCGGCGCCAGTTTAGTTGGACGGTTAAAATGCCGCTTAAATGCCCGGAAAAAATAAGAGGGGCGAGCGGGAAAATAAGCGGAAAAATCGCTGAGACAATTAGACCCATTCATGGGTTTGCCTCTTGACGGGTAATCGAGGTATGCGTAAGTGTGCGTGTGTATTTCTTGGGTTTATTGAGAAGCAAGGCGCCACCGAGGTCTACCCGTTAGCCTGGGGTTTATTATTGAAACGCGTCGGTGCAGGGCTTCCACGATAAAACTTTGATCGGAGGATTAAGGGGATCGAGAACAGAATGTGGCTGGCTTTCGGCTATATTTAGATTATTCCAGCCCTAGAGGAGTTCATAGGGATGATCAGGCCATCCCTCCCGGAAAGAACATACGTTTTTAAAAAGTTTGAAAAATTTTCGTTGTAATATATTCTATTATATATTCTGTGATGCCAATGCAATTATTGTTGAAATTGAGTTAAAGTTAAAATAAGAAAACTAAGTTAGTCATTCATGTAAGACGGTTAAGAAAATTACTGTGGAACATGATATCATTAAATGTTCAATGGATTGAAAACTCAGAAAAGTTACTGCCTGTTTTTTGAAAATTTTCCCATGTATCATTGCCATGAGGGTCGAGTGAATTATAGTCAAATTGGAGCGATTTAATGAATTAGAACATTTGAGTTAAGTGACTGAATTTGTTATGTTGGGGAGATATGGAATTTAATAAGTTGGAGTTTATTTCTCTGGTCATTATGACATTAGCTCGAAAAGGGGTACGATTCTTGAGATGGAATGTTGAATTTTCTTCGTAGGTATTTCTATTTATTTCATCGCGTTTTAACACTTCAATAAATAACTGTTTATACTGCTGGGCATTTTCGCCTTTTGATTTTTTTATTTATACGCATCAAGTTTCAAATTTCTTCGCTGGAAATCGAGGCTAATTGGGTACTGAATAGTCATGTTTTGATTGAAAATCCTAAGAAACTAAGAAATTCTCATCTTTTTGTTGCTTAGAAATGTGAGATTTCCTTGAAGTTTCACGGAATCATAAAGTTTTATGAATCTTGTCCCCTAAATTCGATTCAATGTTCTCTTTGTTCTCTTCAAAATTTATGCAACACTGTTAGAGCATCCTTTGGTAGAAACTGTTAAAATTGGTGGCAAGACCGACTTTCATTAAATTTCCATATATATCTTGTTATTGAAGAATCACCAGATATTTTTTAAATCCAATAAAATTTGAATTTCTATACACCACGCAAAATAACTGTAAGTCACAGAAATTGAAGGAACTTATTGGAAATGGAATAGTTAAATTAATTAAGACACAGTTAATTAATTCTAATCACTATTTCTTTATTAAAATCGCACGAGGAAGAATACCGCCTGAACTCTATCAATACTTCCAAGAGACTAAAGACTAGCCACAAAGGCCATAAGAACATTCGCCACCAAAGAAAGAACCCTACAATGGTTTCTTGTGAAAAAATTGTTTATGTTTATACAAACTCTGAGGCGATTCCGTGGAGCCATCCATATCGATTCATTTTTGTAATGATCATAAATCATCATAAATCAGTTTAATATATTTCTATGAAGTTTAACTTGATATTCTAACAGAACTCTTTCTCTAAATCCTCGGTTCTCAGATAATTCAACTACAATTAAAACTTCATGAATATTCAAGAAGCCTGATGAATTATACACTAAAACTGAACTCTTAAAAAATGATCATTCTTTCTTATCACTATGGTTGCCGATTGAATTATCAGATGCTTCTATTTTCTCGACTTAACACTCCAATCTGAAAATGAAGACCTTATAATTGGGATGGTTAAGGATAAAAATAGGGTTCGGCTGGATGGTACCCAGATGGGCGGTCTCCCTCGTGCGGTAGTCAAAAAAGTATGAGAACACCCGTGGTTTACCACAATTTTGAAGGGACACGCGTGGCAATCCTTTGTGTGGTTAAAATAAAAATAGTGGAGAATGGTGAAAAAAGGGAAAGGAAGAGGGAAAGATTTGAGGGATCGTCCAGCGTGTAATGGAGGCGCATTTGCAACCTGGGAGAGTGGATTGGTGGATACGTGGGTGGGAATGAATTACACTAAAAGGCGCACAACAAGAGAAGACGGAATTGTCTAAAAAAGTACATATACGACTTTTTTCCACTATCAAGCGTCTGTGCGCACTCCTCCCTTTCCATCAAAGGGCATTGCCCACGGAAATCCTCAAGATGTTTCATTTTCTCATATATTTTTTTCTCATTTCTCCCCTTCTAGCCCCTAAAAAAAAACCAACTTTGAGGCTTAAAAATAGAATATTTGTATCGAGGGGAAAAGCGAAAGTCACGGGCCAAGTGGAGAGACTCTGGATGGGAGCCCATTGGATCCTAGCTTTTAGAAATAATGGAGAGAATTCATTCATATTTTAAAACGAGTTACAAAATTAAATTTCCTAGTGGTACAGTGAATTGTGTCTGTGTTAGATATTTATATTCACCAGCAACTTATATTGCCAATGAAATGGAGTTTACAGAGCTCGAGGGGTTTAAACACGAATGACTCGAATATTTTTTCCCTCTACGTTAAGATGCACTAAATATATACTCAACTCTCGACTGCCGGATGCACCAATAGTTATCATCTATCACAGTTAACAATTTAAACTCTTTAAAAGTGATTTTTAATAAATGCAAGTGTTACTGCACCTGTCAGACAGGTGTACAGCAAATGCCCTCGTTCCCTCAATTTTCTTGCTTACCCTCATTGTCCTCCTTTTTTCAAGTGCAAGAATAGTTGAGAGGAGAAATGTTAGGCCAAGTCAAGATGAAATAATCACGAAAAAATTGCCACGTCCTCTTCAAGTGCACTTGCAAACCCACTGCCTATCGCCTCTCGCTCTTTACCCCTTTTTTCTCGTATCCTTTTCGTCTCATTTCCTTTCAACACCCAACCACCAATTTGTCATAATTATTATATTTATCTTTGTTATTCACTTAATCCCGTCTCTTGACCGCTCTTTCGATACGGTTCATAAGTTTTATAAAGGGCGTATTGATGAATTCATACGGACAAAAAACTTGCTCTTTTGCAATTTTGATGAATCGCTGAATTTGCATAATTTGGGCGGATAATGGGCCTTTTTTTAGACCTTATGAATATTTAGTTGAAGCCAATGGACGTCTTCCACTCGACTGATCGGATACTCTATTTGCTCATAGGTCCACTATCCCCCTCTAACCATTCACCAAAACTAATAGAGGGTAACGGGGTAAAATGGGCTATTGTTCTTTATTGGATACTCCTCATTTTATCCCAGAAGTATCAATGAGCCTTACACGGCCCATTTCTCGGGCCCTTAAAACTTACCCAAAATTCTTCATTGAAAAATCTAAAAATGTGGAAAATTGAGGGAATACCTCCTCTGAATTTTCCATAAATTTAAATGATATCAATATAGCTTAATTAAAGTCAGAGGACAATTTAGCCGAATCTTCGGAAAATTGGAGTAAACTGGTTATGACTTGGCGAAATCGCGCCAAGAGTACTGGGGCGTACTTGTGAATCGCAGAGGACTAAAAAGGGAGTGAAGTAAGGAGACGAAAATAAATGGTGAAAATAAAGAATAAAAAAAAAAGGAGGAGATAAATAAAATGGAGGAATCGCTTGGATAACGGGGTCCAAATATAGTGTTGCCTTCCGAGTATACGTACGCTCTCCCCTTGTTGTATTGCGTATACGGAGAGAGGAGTTAGCTTGGACGGATTATTTCTGCGGTCAAGCTCCAGAGGCGGAGAGAGATGGGGAAGAGGTTGGTGTATAAAAGTGTAAAGAGCGTTCGCGGAGGAGGTAATACACCAGGGCTTGGGCTGTGGACGCACTTGGGTACCAGGGACTGGGCGAGTAAGAAGTTAAGATGGTCCAGCGTTCGCCCCATCCCCATCCTCTCATCTCTCTTTATCTTTCTTCATACCATCACCTACTCTTTCACTCTCCACTGCAGCCGGAGGTGATGACCTGCTCAAGGCCACCCGCTCCCAACCTCTGCGACCGAGAGTACTCCCTATTATTTTTATTATTATATCTCTATCCTTTATTTTTCCTCAATTAAACACTAATATAATGGAATATAATGAAAATGGAAATTTCAGTATTTAAAAATAAAAGATTTGCAGAAAGTTCAGTAGTAATTGGGAATTCCAAAGATTAGTGACAATCAAATTAAAAATGCAATTTAATCAGTTAAAAATTGAATAATATATTAGATTAAATTTTTCTTATTTCTACTATTTGTCACGTAACGATCTTTCGTGAGTTGATAGGGAGTTTTTAATTAAGATACTGCTTGAAATTCCAGGGGAACTGTCACTTGTTGGAAATCCATGACTAAACAGCTCTCCGACAATTTAGTTTGCATAAGTAGATAAGAAAAAAATGTTATCCTCGTGAATTGGTTCGTGCTTCAAGTGCTCGACCTTGAATAATACTGCACACACACGAGGAACTCTGATGCGTAATTGTAACAGTGTATTACATGGCACGCACTTGCGTGTGTACACCATAGCTAATTGGCGGGTATATATGCGGACATTCGATATAAAAGGATCGGGTCAAATGGAGTCAATCAGGCAGCTGTGTCCACTACAACTGGATGCCTATTACCCCGGATTCATTATCTCCCTTCTCCATATTTTCCTATTGAATTCTCGAGGTTTCCTCCCTCTCCCGACACATCTACCGCACCTCCCATTATTTTTCTATTTATCACTCAAAATACCAGTCCATTATCAGTCGAAACAATTTAAAACATTTTTCCGCTTCAATTTATTTTTTTCAGAGCGCGATGATACAGAATCCTTGAAGGGAGAGAGTACAAAAGTGGTGGATAAAAAACTCCATAAGAGTGAGTAAATTTTGTGCCTTTATGCACTTTGGGATAAACATTTAGTGAAATCTTTTCCGTAAACATCGGGGGAAGTAGTTTATCACTAATTTATTTCATTTTTCTCCGCTACTGCAAAAAAAAACCTGAAGTAGAGAAAATGGTCGAGAAACATAAGAGATCTAACAATTAATTTTAATTGCCCAGGAAATCATGAGCTACTGCAACTGGATTGAATTAATCTATTTCAATGGTTTTGTCTCGATTGAGGAGAGGCAATCACACTGCTAGAAATAAATTGAAATATCATGAAGATAAAAAAGTGTAGAATTTGCAGTTTCACCAAAAATTCAATGATCTAAATTTCCAGATTAATAGATTCACCTGAATCGCCGTGATTCATATGAATTTGAATGGAACAATTGAACTAAAATGAAACATCCTTGAATTTTCCGAAAAACTTTAAATTTTCCATTGAAATTTCAGTGAAATTGTTAGATCTCTTATGATTCACTGAAATTTCAATGGAAATGGCAATCCCACGATTGGATCACATTTATCCATAAAATAATAGCACAACATAACATCCTGAGAATTAGTTAACATCTAAGCCTGACATAGAAAGCTTCACCTTTAGCACTACTCTCATTTATCTAAAAAACCTGTTATCCACGTGCATTTGAGAGGTGTCGAAGTAAGAAGGATGTACATATCAAAGCTGCATAGTTGCCCCATGAGTTTGTTGAGAGATCTCTCCCTGGTTTAAACAGCGTGTCGGGCCCTGAAGAGATAGCGAGATCGGCGTGAGACGCGTTCACTGCATGCACCTCTCAATACTCGGTTAGACACACTCGTCGGTCTCGTGCCGCTCCGGATCCATCGTCTAAATCCAAAAGGTGTGGAGGAGGTGTTGAGTCCTCCACCAAGTACTCCACGAACTCGTCGACCAAGTGCTTCACGAAGTACTTCACGAAGTGCTCCACATTCAAATCTCCCTCGCCTACTCCTCTTATGATATCTTGGCCTTAACCATTCCTCTCCCTCGCGCCCCCTTTGTTTCACCCTTTTTTTTTTCAATTCCTTTTTCACTATTACTGTATGCGGTTATAACCACTACGGTGAAAGTTTTGTTGGAAAAGATAATTCGCCCTCGATCCTTCAACGTTACCTATACAACGAACTTCACATTGAGATTCATGACTTAGATACATCACGAGTCTTGAAATAGGATCGAAAAAATTGACAGAAGGAGGCTCCATTTAATATTAACTTTGGAGGTGATTTTAATCCTTGGGATGAGCCTTTGTATTTTTATATTGCAATTTATCCAGTATTTCTGTGGTTTTATCGGTTGGATTGGAATTTTTAGGGAACTGTCAATCGGATGACGAGTGATTTTCAATAAATACCAAGGTAATGCAATACGATACGGTTCTTATTCAACATTTTATGCAGTTTTGCATCGCATTTTGTTTCAATCATGGAGGTATTAAGAATATGTCAACACTCCCTGCTGTTCGCGTCTGTAATGCTCATGAGAAAATTCAAGAGGGAAATACACGTGGAAATTCGTAGCATTTTATTTGAGGAAGTGTTAAAAAATGGCAGTCAGGAATTTCTCAGGGAGTAATTCAAGGGGTTAAATGTATAAGTAATGGATTAGAGTGAGAATTTGGGACGTTCATTCCAAATATAACAAATTCAAACAGCTATCGCCCTCAACTCTACCTCCACCAGCTAATGCAATAAAAAAATATAATCCCATTTATACATCGTCAGATAATTCCCAGCCCGTCATGTATAATGCAAACTTCACACCAAGTCCAAATACCACATATTTTTTACAAAATACCCGTTGAAAGGAGAAAGTCCAATTTATCCGTTAACTCGCGCTGCAATTTCAATCCTACGATAAAGCCATCTCCACCTCTCAATTCCATAAACCCAGGCACATTAGTACACCTCTAATTAATACACCGATAAAAATGTCAACACGTTTTACATTTTTACCCACCCACTAAATGCAGAATATCTTAAATTTCTTCGGTGTCGCGCGTACTTCATAACTCCGCAATTTAATAGTCAGCCAAATGTTTTAACCCCGTCTCCCACTGTGCACTGGGAAAGATAAACAATTTACGTCACAGGCATCGAATGCCTTGAATTTTTATCAAATGAATTTTCAATAAACGTTCGAATAACTCAATTCACCTCATTGGGCTCTGGATAATACTCGCTCCCACGAAGTGTTTCCGCATTCTCCATGCCCGGCGTCTCTCGACCAGAGCGAGAAAAAGTACATTCACATAAAAATTCCTCCGGGTGCACCGAATTTGATAAATTTCTGTCTTGCATCCACAAGTGTCGGTGCTTTGATCGCTGAGGAAGTACTCTATTTTCGGGAATATATCCCTAATTTTCAGGAATTCAGGACACTCCTTTTTTTTTCACTGAAGGCTACACAGAAATTTCTATTAATTTTGAAAAACAATTTTTGCCGAATTAATAACCATTTGGAGAGACAAAAATAAAAATAAGGAATTTTGAAAAAAATTCACGTCCCTCCATGGATCACCCTAGATCCGACCCACAGGGGGTGGAAAAAAATCCACTGTTAATTATAAAATATTCGATTGCTTAGCAATAAATGGATGTTGTGGAGATTGGACCCACCTAGCGTGCCTTTTATACTATTGACACAAAAAAAAAGAAACCAATAAAAATCCTCTCATGCACATTAATGTGGAGAGAGTCTAGGTGAAGCGTGATGTAATGCGTGAATCACAGTGTGCGGTCATACAAACCGTTCTGATTTCTTCGACAAGCAACAGTCGAAGCTTATCGCTCTCTTGTTCACGGAGATTAGTCGGATAGTCGTGATCCAGCCGTCTGAGCGTTAAACAAAACTTGACAGTACCTTTTGTACTAATAAAAGCCATCATTCATCAAGGTCAGTCAATCATTTCTCTTATCCCCGTTCAAGTCGTGAGACGATTAACAACAATAGTGGCTCTGCCCGTTCTTCAAACATTATTCACGGGAAAACAACGACGAGAACCCTTCACTCCACACCCCATTGAAATTAATCCCCAATGAATTTCGAATTAGCAAACGAAAAACTCTGTCACTACCTAATTAATTTTAAAAATCCAAGACCACCGGCGGATTCGAATTCATTAAAGCAACTTCATTCATTCCCACTGGAGGAATTCCAAGTGTCTCACAACTCGACTTCTCGAAAACGTTAAAAATCCTAATGAATTATCCATTTGCCCCACAAAAACCTCAATGGGGTGCAAAGAATAGGCATTTGATTGGTACTTTCTATCAACCGGTTTAATTACGCCCCCTCGTCCAATCGGTTAAAAAAAAATGAAAAAAAAAATAAGAAAAAAACATTTTGAACTCTGGGTTCGACATTAGCACTCTGTAATGCGATCCTGACATTCGCCACTGGACTCCGTACTGATAGCACAACCCAAAACAAGTTCTCACATTACCCAAAACTTCAATGACTTGTTAATTAAGGAACGCCAGGGAACGTTGAGTAAGACCGCATTCAGTGGCCGATGACACATTTGTGATGTTTGTGATGATTTCTCATTAGTTTGTGCAAATATCATTGATCAATTAATTCACCTGTGGTATCGCTATGTGTCACCGGTTGGATTACTCATGAGTTGTTCGTTCTGCTGTCTGCTAAATGTGGGGTGAAAAATAAAGCCTGAGGTGGATGTGAAAAATGAGAGCAAACCAGTGACGTTGAGGCGTGTAGGGAGGAAATAAAAATGAATAAATGATGGATTTGTGGTGTTTAAAAAAGTGGGTGGAAAGGGGGATGTTGGAGTGAGGGGAAAGGGGGGAGACCATTAGCGATGAAGAGGGACAACGTCTATCTCGGTGACGACGTCGCTGGGTACAGACGACGACGACGATGACGTTCAACTGAATATGTGTATGTGTATGTAGCGGGGCATGTTTGTTCCTTTCAAGGGGGGGGCCCACTGGGCTTATCCCTTCCACGAACCGGTTGGCTTCTACCTCAAGCTGCATGGTTTAACCACGGAAGCTGGCCTCGACGAGCAATGTCGCCCAGTCTTACCGCAACCATCTACCTGGTATAACCCATATACCGCCCCATTCTCACAGTTTAATGTCATATTTCGTTTTTATATTCTGCCACGCGGTTTTTTCCTCATCATGCGGTGATTTTTAGCCAGTTGAGGATTTTATATCCCCTGGGTTTATGGAGTGCAAAACGAGGATTTCAACAGCCAGGTAATCCTTGATAACAAACCTATCAATGTAGCGCGAGATTTTTTATTTATATTAGCTTTTAACATTTTTTGAGGTTTTTTTTTTTCAAAAAAAACGATTTCGTTTTCTTACCGAATTTGTTCTGGTATACGACCAATTATTGCCTCGTCGATTTTCGCGTGGCCGACTTAATGGGACTTTATCTACTGCGGCGATGATGAACATTTGTCAATACATTTTAACACATATGGCGAATCCACAGTACATACCACCGGTGTGACGCACTAAATCCCCGGTATCTGCTATCGGAGTGAAAAAAAAAAAAACGAAAAATCGAGACAGGCTTAAACCTATTAGACTGCGTACATTCCCATCTGCAGGCGCACAAAGCGATATCGCTCTGTCGGAGTTGTAGATACATGTATGATTACGATTATAGGTTTTGCGATGATTTGCCGATGGTTTGTCCTCGGTATGAAGTAAGAATTTTGATCGCAAGTTATTACGTAGGGTTCGTTGTCGGTTGAAGGGTGTCTTTAAACCGGTAAAAGGTGAATGAGTACTAATTTCTGATGGTATTGTTCGGTAAGCTATTCGAGATGAAACAAGTGATTTTGCAACATCCGTTTTTCAATGGTACTAAAAATACCCAGAGATAAGAAGAGTGCAAATATTTAATTATGGTACGCATGGCCGATATTAATGTATATGCGTTAGAATGTTGAAATCCTTGGAGTGGAGTTGAGAAGTGAATTGGCCAGGGTATACAAATGGGCCCGGTAATTCCCCTCGAATTTCCGTGTGTGAAAGACAATTGTTATAAAGTGCAATTTCACCTATTGAAACAATGAGTCCTAACGATCTACATAGATTGAGTGTCTAGGAGGGTTCGGTGACCCCAAAAGGAAGGATGAGAAGAAATAATAAAATATACGAGAGTCGATAAAACCACGATTATTTTCTATTTTCATCTCTCTCAATTTAGCCCCGAAGCTACTTCGTCCAGGATGAATGATCAGGCTCATCAACAAACAATAACGCTGGTACTTGCCGAAATAAAATAACTCGTCAGATGGATGAAATGATGTTTACGCAGCTGGAGCTCGCTCCGAAATTAATGCCAACGAAACATTCCACGGGGAAAAATCAAATTATTTATCGTGATAACCGAAAAAAATGAGGGGGAAGAGGGGTTCGCAGAACTGAAGTCTCGTTCCACGCGATCCAACCGACAAATCGGAAATTGTTGGAATACCTAGACTGATCCGCGACGACCGTGAGACTATGTCGGTGCCGTAGACTCTAGTCATCCGACCACTTGTTCTTTTTTTTAATTCATTTTCTTGTATCATTCTCTCGCTTATTTTTCCTCTTCCATTATTTTTCCAGCATTAAAACCCACAGTGATAGGGTCCGTTAGGTCATCGATTAGTAGCAAAACTAACGTGACATTATGTCTGGATAAATCCGAGGCTTCTACTCCTTGTAAAAACTATTTTTCAATCAATTGAAATTGTCAAGATAAATTGATACCTGAAAAACTTCATTCCAAGTAATAGAGCCATACTTAACTGTTATTCTCATATTTGTACTATTGCTATCGACGTTTTGATTGTACGCTTGGAGAAAAAAAAAATTATATTTCGCAGACAGCAGATTTTAATAAAAATATCAGTAGACTTGTTTCATTACAAATTGCCACGTCTTTTATCAATCGGTAATTAAAACAAGTGGGGACAACCATTATGAGAAACTGCGTATAGTTGTTGTTGCTAAGAAACTAGCAACAAGCTTCCGAATAGATTTTCTGAAAATTGAAAAATAACAGGGATAATTCCATCATCTTATGACTTGAACAAGAACGCTTTCAGAGAGAAAATTTACGGTTCCCCTTTATTCTGTATTTCAATTGGAAATTCGATACTCCTTAAAACATCAGTGAAACACTGGTCTGATGAAAATGCCAATAATAGTACGAGACATTTCAATCAAATATTTTTAATGGTGTAATCGATGCATGAATGATTGAATAGAATTGAATACCATTTGGTGGAGAATGAATAGCGAGATGAATAGTTCACAGTCGATTGAATGAGAGAATAAATTTGAATACCCAGAGCCAACTCATTGTAATTCTCTATCAAAAAACAGGATCATCTGATAGCCCATAACAAGTACATTAATCGGGCAGAGCCTTCTATTTAAAAAAAAACTCTAGCTCCCCAGTACCACATGAAATCATAAATCCCGACTGTCCTTTTCCGATAGTAAAAAATCAGCGCAACAATGTTGCATTGATTTCCCTATTTCATTTCATTACAGAAATATCTGATTGTCTCGGTATCTATAGCATGTGGCCCGCACCACAACATGTTCAATCGTTAACTCAAATCTTTTCAAATGAAAAACCTCAGCATTATTATTCCCGCATAATTCAACGTCCGCGTACAAAATGAAACAAAACGTTCCATAAATTTCGAAATATACCGCCGAAACGATCGCACTGACTTGATAAACTCCTTAAAACAAATGCGATCGGTATGTTGTTAAGTATAACAACTAGATGATAAATACAAAATAACCCGTAGTGTTGACATTATCGTTATAAAAAACAGCTCGACGCTTTTGACCAGTATAACACAAGACAGCAGAGAGAAGCGAAGGAGAGAACCCCCAAGTGTTTTTTCTTGTTTTATTGCTGAACAATTTTTGTCCCCAACGAATCGTGATAAAAGCATTCTATACCCACTGGGACTTGCCCCAGTGTATGATAGCGGTAATAATTCAAAGTGAGCAGGATACGTAAACGTCGTATCACGCGCATGACTCTCACGTCTACTTTTTTTTGACGATTAAAAGAAAAATCCTTTATTTCCTTGTATCATTGATTGATCCTCAATATGTAGGCGTATACTCGAGTTGACTGCTGCGGGATTGAAGAATACCGCTAATTGAATATCATGGTATCACAAATGATGCGTCCAATTGTCATTCTGATAAGCAATAAATTATTACATAAACACCGTGCAGATGATAAAATGAGTTTATCCGTGTTAAAAATTTCCATGACAAATAGGTGAGAGAATAAAAAAAGTGAAATTTATCATTTTAACATTAAAAGAATGTTGATTGTTATCCTTCTAATGGATTTTAATGGACATTCACTGTACCAACATTACTCAGCAACAATGAAATGCCGCAAAAGTGATTGGAGATAGTGAAAAATAGATTCTCACACCTATGTATCTCGTCTCGTCATAAACTGACATTTGTTTGATTATTTGTACAGTATGTAGTTGGATGCTGGATATTGAAAAAGTTGAATTCCGAGTGAAATTCACAGTGTTGTTTTTTGTCTTCTGAAAAACAGGCGCGGTAAATGGTAGGATGGACAACTGTGGAGGCGGTCAACGCCTGCCCCCGGATGGGGACGAGTTTCCAGCGGCTTACCAAGAGTTCAGCGCCTCTGTACAGCAGTACCAATACGTTGTAACACCACGTACCACCACAATGATAACCAATGGAACAATAAATGATACGGAAAAATACAAAACATCTAAAGCATCGCAAGTTACTGAGACCCGTATAACATCGCAGTACATAGTTACGAGTAAACCAGATATATCCTTAAAACAAACAGACACATTGAACAAGGTAAATTCCCACCTGGAAGATAGCAAGAGAAATCCCGTGACATTTACGAATACATATACGAGGGATAATAAGCAACGGTGTGTACAGGGAGTCGTGCTGACTGAGAAGAAAATCGAGATTGCTGGATATTATCCGAAAGAATCAAAGATCGATAATGAAACGACTGGTAAAGATAATCTGGACAGTCCTCCACCGTTGCCACTAACAGGACCACCTAGCTACGAGAAAGCAATGGTGCACAGTAGGATGGCAAACGAGACGTGTGTTAATTCACGGAAATTTTCGTTGAACGGCGATTTAAGGAGTCGGGACGATAAATCAGAGAAGTCAGTGAGGGATAAGATAGCTATGTTCTCCAAGGGCAGTATCGAATCACCACTCTTTCCGAATAATCCCGCGGCCAGCATCGCTGTCACATCGAGACGATTATCCAAGTATAAATCATCCGAGGATTTCTTTGTCGATGATGATAATAAATGCACCACCATGCAAAATGATCGTTACTTCAGCTCTTGCGATCTTACGGATTCTGCTAAAAGTCATTCTGATTTATCGATCAGTGGGGGAACAGAGAGACCGCCTTGTCCGCCAACATCATCACCACCGGTGGAATCAGTCGGCCGTGTGACAACACTTTCCACTAAGACATCAACCAAACCAATGGCCACACTAAAATCCGGATTATTGACTTCATCGGCGAGTTTAACTGACGTTAAATCTGTCATTAATCCGTCTAGATCCAATGGCGGTGGACTATTGTTGGAGGAGGGTAAGAATATACCGGCATTAACGAGGGCAACTAGCTTCTCCGGTGGAATTTCTTACGGTGAATTACCGCCTGCCAATGGACAAGTATCCAGGGCTAATTCGCTTGCATCGACATTCCGTCGTACTGAGGATATGAGGAGAACCAGTCTGAATCAATTGATCGAACAGAGAAGGAAAGGAATTTCAAAGCTGAGGGGACTTGTTATACCCGAGAAGGACGCTGTCCCTGTCGATCAGCCAATAATCGATCTTCCAGAAATCAAATCGAGGGATTCTATTCTAGTGCAACAGGTACACTTTTAATTGTCACTTCTTTAACCATCAAATTCCTCGCATCATTCCCATTATTTCTCTTTCTTTGACGATGATTTATGTAACTCTCAAGATTATCCATAAAACTTACAATACACCTAGAATTATTTTTGCAAAACCCCCTCAATCATTTTCTTTCTCGTAATTCGGATACTTTCTAATGAAAGCAATTGTGGTTGAGATAAAGACGCATGAATATCATGAGGAGTTTTTTACATAAAGCTGAAAAATATACGAGACTGGGATCCTTAATATTTTCAATTTATGATCCACTCAAGTTATTTATTGAGGCTATAAACCATTAATTCCCGGCTTTATAATGTAAATTGACAAATATACTCAATAATAATTTTGCCCATTATTTGTGATTGCAGAAGGTCAGTATAATTGACAAGTGGGGCTCACAGGGCTCTCTAGCAAGCAATACCAGTACCCAGAGTATGCCGATAAAGACAACGACGTTTAAAATGCCAGCGCCGCAAATCCTTCCAAAATATTCACCAGCATTCAAACGTAAAAGTCTCACAGTTTATGGCTCATCAAATGTCACATCACCCTCAAGCCAACAGACTAGTCCAGCCACCACAGTGACGCCCACTGAGCCCCCCAAGAGTTTAGAAAGTATCTGCAGTCCAACTAGAAGTGACTACAGCTTTGAATTTGTATCATCCAGTGTATCACCCGAGAATATACGTAATCGCCCGAGAACTGGACAGAGAAAGATACGTGGGGATTACGATGACTCGGACAATGATTCAGCAGTTAGTAGTTCACAGAGTAGTATATCGAGGGGTTTCAGTCCACCAACATCACCAGTACCATCTGATCGCTCCAATCTGTCATCCGACAGATCCTATTCAATAATGATGGATACTAAAAACTACTTAACGAGTGACGGACAATTTTCCAAAAATGAGGGCTACACAGTCGAGAGAAATTATTTGAGCTCGAATGGCTCGTCGAGTGGTAGCAGCAGTGCCAGCAGCAGTGGCAGCAATTCCAGTCACTCTGATCCAAGGTCACCACCACCTGAACCCAACGTGAGATTCACTGGAATTCCACAGAGGCAGATGCTCAAACGATCGAGCAGCACTGAGACAACCTGCAGTACATCGTCAACTCTCACCTCGGGCTCACAGGCCAGTGCTGAGTCGTTGTCCAGGCGTGTACTCAAGCCCCAGAGTGTCGAAGCCATCAATCGAAAGAACATTCTTGCCAGTGCTAGGTGCCGAAGCGGTAGAGATCTCAACGGTTCTCCTCTCATCCAACGTAAATTCTCCGATGACGAAGAGATACCGGTTGCTCAGCGCAACGGAAAGTATGATAAAATTCCTAATGGGAATTGTAACAGTGAGACAACTCCCAAGAACATTAAAATAGCGTACGTCGAGGTTATCGAGGATTTGGTCTCCAACGATGAGCCGACCATCGTGGAATCTCCAAAATATCTCCCTAAGAGAACGGGAGTGGGGTCGTCATTGGCACTCAAAAAATCCCCTAAACCTGATATAATGCAACCCTCGGACGACCTGAAGAATTGGGTGCGAACGGAGGTCGAGGCGTTGCTGATCGAAGACAGCACTTGTTTGGAAAAAGTCCAGGCTTTACAGACGAGAATACCCAGGACTCAATCGTCATTAACCCTCGACGAGGCAAACGGTACAGCTCCCATGGGAGTGAAAAGAATGCCCTCGGTCGAGCAAATCGATAGCTCCTGCAAGAAAACCATCGACTCTCACAGCGATGATTTACTAACAACATTGACAACAAAAAGCAGATCACGAGCGCCAATTAGTTTCGAGGACGGTGCAATACTGCGCTCAAAATGTCAGATGAGTCTGGAGGACATTCTAGCGGGTAAGGCTGAGCCAAAGCGCCCTGAACCGCACTTGATTCACTCAGTTTCTCACCGACGACTGTCTGTCGACTCGAGAGACACTAACAGCATTGTAAAACCGAGGGTAATGGAGTCTGAAGACAAAACATTCGTTTCAAAAATACCCACGTACGGGAGATCGAGGGGAGATGCCGTTGACGAGTCCAATAAACTGGCTGACAGGTCAAGAACCTCGAAAATTCCCATGCAGAGAAGTTTGGGAAGGAGGAGTGCAAGTGTCACTGACATGAAAAAGGCACTGGAAAAGACCGACTATTCTACCAATCATCAGTCTCAGCATGGGGTGCAGGGTATCCACCACAGGTGTCCAAGTTTGGATAGCAGTGTTGAGGAGAGTATTCGTCCTGTTGGAACGGAAAACGATGCTGAACGATTTTATGGGGAACAGTTTGGCAGCATAAGTTCATTGGCCAGCAGTACAAGTTTGATATCACAGCAGGAACTCGCCTTGCTCGTTGAAGAGGCAAGTCTTGAGGAAGCTAGGGGATCTCACGAGGTCATTGTGGTTCTTTTGCACAAGGAGAATCCCAGTGGCAGCGTGGGCATCACTCTGGCTGGCGGGGTTGACTGTGAGGTCAAGGAGATCACTGTACATCGGGTTTTGGCGCACTCGATTGCCGACAGGGATGGCAGAGTCCAGAGGGGCGATAGGATATTAAGTATCAATGGGAGGAGCACCAGAGGCCTCAGCCACAGGGAGAGCCTCGCTGTTCTTAAGCAACCCAGGTCCGAGGTCGTTCTTGTCGTGTCCAGGATTAGGGTCGAGGAGGCTGGCAACCTCAGGACCAGGACCGAGTCCGTGGAAACTATTGTCGAAGGTATTTCATTTTTCTTTTCTTTTCTTTACTCAGAGCCTCAAAAACATCATAACAAAAGAAACAATAGAAAAAAATACAATTTAAAATATCATGAGCTAATAATAACGCAAAATCTAAATACCACGCACACAGAGATGGAAAATCGGTATCTAAGTAAACACAATAAATGGAAGACTGAGCAACTCTGAATTCCACAAATCAAATCCAAGACGGAAACAAGGGTTAAATTATTCATTCAGGACAACGGAAGGGAGAATCGGAATTATGATAATGATGATCTTATGTGCCTTTATTATTATTAACATTTCCACTGTGATATTGTGTTATTTGGAGCGACCAGCTCAAATCTCCCATCATTGTCTTTCCCACTGAAATTGTATACTAAGAATTGTTAGGGAATTTGAAAAATCTATTACGTTTAAACGTTTCGTAAATTCACTGAAACTTTTTTTATGCAAAATTCAGCAAAAATCTTTTACCAGTAATATTATCTTTAAATATTTACTAAATTAGGGCCAAGTGGCGTTTAAATAGATGATGGTGATGTTCAACTATAAATTGTGAGAGAGACTCCAGTGGAGAAATAATTGCCAAAGTACCTGGACAGCCTTAATTGAATATTCTGTAATTTCCTCTTTGTTAATTAGCTCAAGTATCGTTTTCGCTTTACAACCGAGAGTTGTTATGGGCAATTCATAGAGAAAATGGTGCATTAAAATGACGCACGATGATACTACGATTCAAATGATGGGTTTTTGCATTAGGAAATCATACCCCCACTGATGTTTATGCGATTAAAATTAATGGAGAAAGGTCATGGTTGCAACTTTTATGAGCATTTCGGGGATGTCTGGATGGATGAAAAAGGATTTCATAGGCGTACAGAGATCACCTTTTTGTGGGAGGGATATCGTTCCATTTGTACAACTCGGTGTTATCGGATATGTAACTACATTCTCTCCGGTATTTTTTCATACCCCCAATAACATTGATGAGATTCAATCTGATTACAAGTTACGTTCCGCTTTCTTATATCCATAAAGCTGATATTTTCCTGGTAATGAACTTAATGAAGTCGTATATTACCTCTCTAAGTAGCGGAAAATAAGCCTTGAAACGGTATGTGACATTAGGTTTTTATTTATGTATGGTTGGGAGGTATGAGCGTTTCAGAATAAATTGCGAAATTCCATACTTGGGGGATAAGTGAACTTCTATTTTTAACTTTTACTCGTTTCAATTAAGGCGATTCACCCTGAATTCCTCCCAACAACATCGGGAGGAATCTAAATAGCATGGAGGATAACGATTTTTTACTTGAAAACGAAAATTAAAGAAGAAACGAATATAAATAGGTGGAGAAAGACGAGAATTTTAATTGAAAATTTATAAGGCTGATGCTGAGTTAATTTGTTATGATTACCGGCAAATTCTTTGAAGTTGATTGAATGATGCAATTAAACAAGAATATCGAGTTTTTCCCTGTTCAACAATCAAGAAGATTTCAATAGAATGATATTTTACATGAAGAATACAAAAATCTCGAAGTGTATTGAATATTTCTTGGAGTGTGACTAGGACTGTGTGGTCAGTGAGTCTTTTTCCACCAGAAATAAATGACCGGTGGGGATGGACGCTTAAGGAGTAATTAATTTTTGCAGGATTCGAAAGTAATGGAATGGAAGACACCGCATGGGGCCCCCCAACTCGTGTGATCATCTTTAAAGACGGTGCTGGTCTGGGTTTCAGTCTAGAGGGTGGCAGGGACAGTCCACTGGGAGATCGAGCCCTCGTTATAAAAAAAATATTCACTGGTAGGTTGCGAAAATGTGCCACTCAATTCTCCACATAATAACAACACATAATTCAGTGCCGAAGTGAAAACTAAGATAATTCGATAAGAAAATTGATTTTTAGAGAAAACACCAGAAGGCATTTTTTAATAGAAATTATGAAATTAATTCAGCTCCAAAAGAACGAATCTATGATATGAATCAGTATCTGACTTTACCATTTTATTACTGAATGAATTATTCAATTGATTTATTAGGTGGTGCTGCTGAGAAAACAGGTGCCTTAACTGCTGGCGATCAATTGCTGGAGGTCAATGGAAGTGATGTGACCCGCCTATCGAGAATTGAAGCGTGGTCCTTAATGAAGAAACTACAGGATGGAGAAGTTAATCTCCTAGTCAGGCACCCAGCCACCAAGTCATCGTGAATATTCAGATTATTTAGTCATATCGATGAAATAAACAATGGCGAAACGGCTAACGTTCAATAATAACTACTCAACGAATCGCAAAAGCAGCTGCACAGCTTTATCCAGCAAATGGAAATACCAAAAACGTAAATATTACATTTACGTTGGTCGTGAGAAGTCTATTGCATTTAGACTAGAGCATCCTTGCCTTACGTATTAAAACAAAAAGTAATATAAATTGTTCAAATTTTCTTCAGACTGCTCATCGGAGGGAAACAATTGCGCGATGAGAACTTTGATAATGAGGGGGGAGGGGCAATTATTATTAATTGTGTGCCAGTTAGACACACATGCTTGAGCCATACGATTCTGCGTAGAACTTAATGTTTTTTTCTTTATTTTTAATGGTAATTCAATCATTGAATTGTAACACAGTGCTGGCAGTGCAATAATTATGGTCAGGATATGGCATTAAAGCTTCTAGTTTCAGTCAGAATTATCTAGCTTAATATTTAAAAAAGTGGAAGAGAAATTGTAAATATATTTGTATTCTGAAATTGGCTGAGGCACGAGAGGATCGAGTGGAAGAGCAAGCGCAATGGATGGAAAGTGTCAACTTAGATAATATAAAAATGTTGCTAATTTAAGAAAAAGTCTATTTTATGGGAGTATTTAAATTGTAAATTTGGGGGAATGCGTTTGTTGATTATCGTGCTGTGATATGGGAAGGATCGGCCTATGAGACTAAATGATTAATGTTTGTAAAATTGTGTAAATTTCATTTCGAATTAATTTTTCGTCGTTGAATCACTTTCTGTTAGTCAATATGCATTTACTTATTCAGGCGCTGTTAATGTATCGCTTATTTTTCTGTCTCTCAATGTTTTGTATCTGTATTTTTTCTCTTTTGATTCGCAAACAAATTGTGTTGATGATGTTTAAATAAATGATTTACGAATATTGGAATTTTTGAATTGACGTATGTCTTAGTTTAATTGTCTATTGATACAAATAAAAGTCGGCTGAACAAAGGATTTTCAGGTTTAGTACCAGAAGGTCTTTTGAGGTACTCGATCCTCTTTGATTCCCATTTTATCCATTATATCCATCTCGAATGTCTTCAGTTCAGGCTGCAATATAATTTTATGTTGCGAATTCTTTTAGTAATGAATACTGGGAAAGAAGTTGGAATTAATGAATTATTATATTGAAAGCATACTTTGAAGGTAATTTTTTCAATGGCTTCTCTGGTCGTGTCCTTAGGCTGCTCTTTGTACAGATGTGGAAGTTTGTAGTCTATCGTTTCCTTGGATGTCATCGGAATAGGGATTATTCTTCCTGTTCTCGTTGACACTCGTACTTTTTCACCGTCTTCTGTCCATCTCCATTCCATTGTACACGTATTTCTTTCGACCCACAAATTAACAAAATTAAAATATAGAATTCCTGTTATATATGTGCTATAATAAACAGAATGCTGAAAACGTACAGGTCCGCTGGATCAACCAGAGCAATGTCAGTGGTGACAAGAAGAGGCTGTTCCTCCAGGATAACAATGCCAGGAAAGTCTTTAGTTTTCCCCATAATCCTCATTTTTGTATTTAAACCTTCAACAATAACCCAGTTCCTCTCCTGGATGATTTGTTGGATTAATCCTTGCTTTCCTTTATCACGTCCCACGAGTATTTCGACCTGAGCATAAAAATATAGTAATGAAGCCCATCACCGATTTAAGTAAGCAAAAAAATAGGATATCTTACTCTGTCTCCTCTGAACCAGCTCCATTCCTTGATGGGCTCCACTAGAACTGGTGACACATTTTTCCCTGGGAAGTTCTCCATGTAAAATTCACGTGTCCATGGACGTTCCTTTCCGAATCTGAACCTCTCCCTTTGCACTACCGTCGGGATAAATCTAGGGTCTCCTTTCGGCGACTTCCAATAGATCTTTGGAAAAGTGAGATAGGATTTTTAAATTCCCTTGAGGTTACCACTGGCATTTTGAATGGAATTCAAAACAATACCTGCTCCATTTTACGTCTTATGAAACGTTCTGGTAAATTAGCGAAATGCTTGGACCAGTAGCCCAGCTCGGGGAACTTGAACTTCGGGTATCTCATCACTGTCTAATTAATATGAGAAATAATTGAATAATACCGTTTTTTTTAACTTAAAGTTAACCCTTTATAACCCCAAAAAAACACTGATGTCACATGACTGGTGGCACATGCGCCGGACTACCGAGACTTCTACTTTACCGATCATTTCAAATATATCTTGTGAGACTAAGGCAACTCGATAATTTTTTATTCATTTTCCTTTATTTCACATATATTTGCCGTATAAACAATTATAAAAATTGCTGGGCAAGGAAAAAAACAAAACCAAGAAAATTCTTTTTCGTCACATATATATCAAATTCACTTTCAGTTGGAGGAAAAATACAAGGGAAATGTATGTAAAATCGTATATAATATAAATATAAAACATATCATATAAAAAATACCAATTTCGAAAAAAGTCATCGTAAAGAAATGGGTTGATCATATCAAATAATGAACGATTGTTATAATTCTAAGGATGCCAATTATAGGATGTCCACATCCGGAGCAATTTGGTGACTAAAATCAAATGATATCAAATTTCAATATTTCAATGGAATGAAATTACTGAGGATAATCTGGAATGCGTTTTGTATACACTCCGCCGAACGCACGTCTTCGATGTCGTGTCATATGACACACGATTCGAGGCACACTGGTGTCTGTTATCGGAAATTTTCGTCATCACCCGATGAAATATACATTTATACCTTGACCACCGGGATTGGGAACCAAAGGCGATTATATGCACAATATGCGATAACGTCAAACAATACGAACCGGAGATCGGCCAAACAGTATCAACTTTCTCATCAACATAAAAAACTCTTATTTTTAAATTTTCAAATTTCAATTTAATTTTTAATGGGTTGTGTTTCACAACTCTATGTTCTAATTTTTTCTTTATTCTCTTTTTGAATTCCAGAATTTTTTTCAACAGGTACATTCCTTCCAGACAGAATGGACCATTTGTAGATTGTCCTGTTTCTTGAGTCTTCGTTCTGCTAATTTTCTCCAAGAGTTCCACTCTGCTGATATTTTGGAGAGAATATCTGGGGAATGGTATAGATTTTTAATCGTAATTTCTCAGTCGATTCATCAATGACCAGAAATTCAATTAAATAACCGAGAATGAATCAGAAACCAAGCGTTCCAATCGTACGTAAACAAACAATGGTGGAAACCCAATTATTTGGCTCTCAATCTCGAACTCACGTCTTTCTCTTGAATAAACACTCATGAATGGTGAATGGATGATTAACAGAAAAACCCAACGTACACAAACAAATAATAAAAGTCATTAAATTCACGGTTTCCTGTGATATAATTTTCTCCTGCTCTTCTCCAATTTTTCTTCCAGTTCTCTCAAATGTTGGACATCTTTCCGACGTTAATACGACCAAGCGACCCGTTGTAATAGATCGCAGGAAATAATGGAAACACTTAAACTGTTTATGACCGAACCAGCCCAACACGTGGACCAACCCCATAGACAAAGGGACTTGTCTTTGGGGTAGACCTCACATCCTGGACGCACTGGTGGCTCTTTAAAGAACTCTCGAGTAAGCAATATTGGACGTTAACAACTCAGCTCACCTTATATCGAGTCTTTAACTAAAGTTTATTTTTTAACAATAAATGAATGATCGAGTCATAAAATAAAATTGTTGGCGATATTATTTCACCTATACAAACTCACTCTTACAAATGTGTTCATAAATTCTCCAGGAATTTCCCTGGAAAAAAAAACATTCTTTTTGATTTTATGAATATATCAATTGAGGTACAGTAAAAATTGCCAGAAATTAGTGAAATCGATGCAATCAATAAGAAATCGCTATAATTTCATCCAACATCCAGAATTAATCGGTAATTGATGACAATAGAGATATCCTGGTGTACCTGCTACAAAGAGAACCTGGAATGCCCTGTAATTTATCATTGAAACAAAATATCATGATTCTTTCAATCAATCAAATCCACTTCCAATAAATTAACCCACCACTTCGAATTTTTTCATGTCCCCCACATCCGGTGCTGCAATGCCCTGGACCCCTCAATTCTGGCGAACCAATGAAAAAAAAAAATAGTACCACTTGGACTGAAAAGACGTAATAAAAATTTGAAGGGAATTGGCTGGATGAAAAAAGCAGTTGGGTGTTTTGGTTAAAGTCCGAAACGTAAACATGGAAATTCATCGAAATGAAAGAAGGCCCTCTGTTTCATCAATTCCCAGCGGCATGAAAGCCTCCAATGTGCCCTGGTCGGTGTCAACTATACCCTTTATCGCATTTCCGGGCTTTATTATGTCTAACTCCGAGTCACCTACGGTGTAAATAAATACCCCATATCTGAACACGTCATCGGGGCACTTGAGAGCTGGAAGCATTGGGTGTCTCAGTTGGATGTCTTGGTGGTTACGGTCTTTCAGTTCCTGTCAAGATCGACACGTGAAAAGTACCCTGGACACGCGAGCATCACCTTCCCTATTCGATTCAATTGGTTTTTCGGCTGCACCATCGGTAAGCAAAGTATAAGACCTTGTGATTGAATCGGTATTATGCTTGTTTACTAATAGTCCAGCCTGGAATTAGCCACGTGAACGTGGACATCTCATCTCGGAGGGATCAACTCTTAGGGGTACCCATATTCTAGCGTAATCCCTGGTTTTTTCAAATGGCATTATGCTAAGAATATGCGGAATCACGGTGGAGTTACTGTCAGCTGATGGGGCTCTCACGATTATTGAGGAAATTGACATTCTTGGGGGGATAAGGAATTGAGAGTTTCATCAATTGTCGTGATACCACCGGGTTATCTCTCAGTGACCTGCAATATCTTGTTGGCGTTGATGCTCCTGGGTAGGAGCTTCTTCGTGTGGCAATATGCTCGTCAGAGTTGACGCTAAATTACTTGTTGCACAATGGAATCGGTGAAAATCGCGATCGTGGGGGCTGGAATTATCGGTGTGACAGCCGCTGTTGCTGTTAAGGAGACTTTTTCGTGGTGTGATGTTGTGATTTTTAGTGAGGCATTCAGTCCTGATACCACTGGTGATGGCAGTGCTGGACTCTGGGGCCCTTTTCTCTGTGGAGTCGAGGCACAGGATAATATTGTGTAGGGGATGGATTTTTTTTTAAATCGATTTTAGCTGCAGTGGGCGGATTCGTCGCGTTGAAGGGGTGATCAGTTGGGGCTTTCAGATTCAATTACAGCTAATCGCAGTGGGGGTAATGGATATCGCGATTTTTGGTGTGAATTCACAAAGTGAAGGGAAACAACAGAGGTTCCTTTGTTACGCTTTTTAACTTTGTGAAAATCTGTAGTGGTGAATATTGAATTTCAAACGAATGAGAAAAAATCCAGCGCTATTTTTATTATTTTTGGGTTTACAAAAAATAGAAAATGTCGATTCTTATTATTGCGATTAGTTATTTTTCCTGTAAACTGAGATAATTCCAATTAATATCTGTCATGATTTTAGGTGGAAATTTCTTGAGACATAGGAGTGATTCGACCATTGCGAAGAATAGTATATTTGATTTATGATGGTTTACCACATGACTATTGATATGATATGCTTGATAGGCGATGGGGTGGTGGGACTCACCGATGGCTTGAGGGTCTTTGGAAATTGGGATTGACACCCGAGACTGGAGTTCAGCTGTTGCCAGTGACCCGAGTTTCAAGTATTCCAGGATTCTATGAAACGACGGAATGGTTGCACTTGGTGCATGGTCATCGTCGCCTTGGTGAAACAGAAATAGCGCAATTGAATGAGGAACACGGCGCTAAATACTGGTAACGGAGCACTATAGACATGTGATTAAAAAAATTAATTAACAGGTGAATAATATTTAATTAGCGACGGTCTTGAATTTCTGACGTACACGAGCGAACCGACGAAACTTTTGCCCTGGCTAATGAATAAATTTCGCTCATTGGGTGGAACGATGAGAACGAGGAAGATCAATAAACTGAGTGAATTAGCTGAGGAGGGATATGGAATTGTGATAAACTGCAGTGGCCTTGGAGCCCGGGAACTCGTTGGGGACATGACGGTTAAACCCATCAGAGGTCAAGTTACTCGGGTAATGAATTCACCAGTTTTTATTCTCCGTGATGTATAAGAGAAGAGATGAAGTATGAATTGGTGGATTTTTCATTCTAGGTTCATGCACCCTGGTCCTTCCGAGTTATACTTTGCGATGACGACGACGGCAATTACATTATTCCAAAGTAAATAAATGAGGTTTTTGGATTTTTTACATAGAGGACAATTTCACGTGCTCCCACTAGATTTTGTCTGGCATTTATCTTGCAGTTGTGCTGCGCAAAGTTCCATTCGACGGATTCAATCAATTCTGTTCTATATTTTTCTCATTCCGTATTTTTCACAGCATTGACAGTGTTATTCTCGGCGGGACTCACCAGGAAAACGACTACGACAGAAGTGTTCGTCCCCTGGAGTCGAAATTCATTCGCCAGGGATGTGCGAGAATCATTCCAGCTTTGGAAGTAATAAAGAAATCGAAAATACTCAATCATCTCCATTGAATCGCTCTATTTATCCTCTTTATTTCTCTACAGGCCAGTGACACTATCATGGAGTGGGTGGGATTGCGCCCCGTGAGGTCCACAATTCGACTCGAGTCGGAAATCTGCCAGAAAGGGAATGGAGAGAAATTCACAGTAATTAAAAATCCATTTATCAAGTCAAAAGCAAATCAACGAACCGAGATACATTAATTTTTCTGGTTTACAATTATTTGAAAAATTGCTGAGTTCATCGCGTTAAAAAATTGAAATAAAAACGGGCGGATATCGCAAATCACCAGAATAACGTACAGCAGAATTAATTAAATATAAAATGACAAGAGATAATTGAATTATATCAAAATATCCAATCGAACATTTATATTCTACTCTATTTATTTTTTGTGGGTTTCTTTCTGATTCTTGTTTGATGAGTTATTTGTACGCACGTCACGTTGACGATTTAAAAAATTCTTATCCAGGTAATACACAACTACGGACATGGTGGAAGTGGAGTGACATTTTCCTGGGGCTGTGCCCTGGATGTTGTGGAGATCCTAAAGAAAATCCTGGAGAATGGACCTAGACATCAGTCTCGCCTGTAGTCGCGTGCAGCTCCAGTCTCTCCAGATCATTGTAAATCTAATGAAAACAGCGGGACTCATGAGCACGTCGGAGCAATTATCCTGAGAACCCGAAATTATCGTCTCCATTTAAATAAAGTCTTCATAAACAGTACGGGGCAGTACATTGTCGCTGTTTGTTCATGCACTCGTGCAAAGAGAGTTGGAAATGAAAAAAAATTAAAAAAAGGAATAACAGCACGTAATTATATTTAACAAAGAAACATTAAGAACGGTAACTGGTACAGTGTGCACCTGCTATTTTGGGTATGATGCCGTGATTCTAGAATAATAAGAGGGGGTGTACGCGTAATAACGTGGTCATGGTCGTGACGTAGTCTAATTATAACGCCATTTTTCACAAATGTCTCTTATATAGTTCTCGGGTTCTATTCAGTTTGCATGCAAATGCCGAGGGGGATACACGTTACAAGGATTATATCTGTACAAAGGATAGCTAAATATTCCATGTGTTTATTCGTTTGCTCGAGTCATCCAATTATTGTTGACAACACTTTATGATTCATTTGAATCAATGAAGCAAGTAAACTAATGCTTGAAATTAAGAATAATGAATGGCAAATGATGAATATTGAGTAGTTTTTAATAAAAACTTTGTAATCATTGTTGGACTATCCTGTGGGAGGAGCCTCTCTTGAAAAAAGACATAAGAAATGTCAAACTTTGAAGTAAACAACTTCATTCCTTTGAGGAAAAAACAAGAAAATGAAATAGTGACTTTTGATTTTCTCGCTTTCTTTCGCTACAAAAAACTTGTTGGATATTTTTTTCTGGAATTTTTTTGAGGCATCAAATGATGCCCGATCAATGGCGACGAAATCCACGCGATGAACTTTGCTGAGGATATCGCGATTTCCCCTGTTCAGAATGAAAATTATGAGGTTGAATCTCACAGTGACTCATCCACGGAGAGTGATACATCCAGCATCGTAAAATTAGGGGATCATCGCGATGGGGGGAATATTCCTGAGAATGAATTTACCGCTCGAATTAGCCAAGGGACGAGTGAAATTAAAGGTAAATAAGAAATAACGATCGATTATTAGGTATTAGACCAAGTTTATATTAGGGAATTCCGAGGAAATGGAGGCAAAGGGAAAGAGAGATGATTCAGCACCGGTGAAGACGAGGAAGAAGAAAAAGAGGTGATAGTTCAAGGGGAAAATGTAAATTAAGAGTTGGTTTTAATTAACTGAAATTTCTCGACAGATTATTATCGATTTGTACCACTAATTGCAAATACGATGTTGTGAGGCGAGTGGCGGCGGTATATGGTATGAGAGAAGTGACTGAGGACAGTGCCTGGAATTTGTATTGGACTGATTTGAGTATCAGTATTGAGAGAGCTAAGGACATGAAGAGATTTCAAAAGGTCAACCACTTCCCAGGGATGACGGAGATATGCAGGAAAGATCTGCTCGCCAGAAATCTCAATCGCATGCTCAGAATGTTTCCCAAAGACTACAATTTTTTTCCCAAAACTTGGTGTCTTCCCGCTGAGTGAGTTTATCTTAAAGACCGGGCTTATTTGCACTTTGATGTTATTTATCTGCTATTTATTATTATTTTTTTAATAATTCTATCAACGTGAATTATTTTAGTTCATTACACTAATGAACACAATAATACTTGCAAGTATTTGATTATTTTCATTGAAAGATTGTTTACATTATGTTTATTATTTAATTTTAATTTCAGTTATGGAGATGTTGTGGCTTATGCGAGGACTCGTCGATCGAAAACCTTCATCATTAAACCAGACACAGGCTGTCAGGGTCGAGGGATATATTTGACGAAGAGCTTGAAAGAAGTTAAACCCTATGAGCGAATGATCTGTCAAGTTTATCTAGCGAAAGTAATGCCCAATTGGTTTAAAATTAAACAATTCCATTGAATAATCATTATTGGAATTTAATTAATTTCACATCTTTAGCCCTTTTTACTAGATGGATACAAATTCGATCTTCGTGTATACACCCTGATCACCTCCTGTGATCCTCTCAGGATCTATGTGTATAACGATGGACTTGCAAGGTGAACAATTCGATTTTTCATTGACAGGTCAGTAATTCTGACCTGAAGTGTATTCTGGTATTTTTTCAGATTTGCAACGAGCAGATACAAAGAGCCTACTAGTTACAACACTTCAAATGTGTTCATGCACTTGACGAATTACGCTGTGAACAAACACAGTAGATTGTACGTGATTGATGAGGAGGTGGGGAGTAAACGAAAAATATCCACCCTCAACAAAACCCTGCAGTCTGAGGGGGTGGATGTCGATGAGTTATGGAGAAAAATTGACGAGGTCGTTGTGAAAACCATCCTGGCTGCCTATCCGATATTGAAGCACAGCTACCACACGTGTTTTTCAACCCATGACCTCACCTACGCCTGCTTTGAGATTCTCGGCTTTGATATCTTAATCGACTCGAAACTCAAGCCCTATTTACTAGAAGTAAATCCTTGGATATTTGATTTTCATCGGAATCCAATGAACGAGTCATTCAAAACCACATTTGCACATTATTCAAAAAAAATCCGGAAAAACTTTCTTTCAAATGGAATTCATTACCATTTTTTTTTCTATTTACATTGAGTTCATTATTTAATTGAAAAAAGTAGTTTTGAATTCTTTCAAATTACTTGGGTTTGCTAATACATGTCCAAATAAAAGATATGTTTATAGGAATTAAGAGACAGAAAAATTATTCTGTGCTGTCAACGGCGAAGCAACTAACACAATAAATTTTTAAAATTTACGTAAAGTTATGATTAAAGAGAATATTGATAAACAGGTGAATCACTCGCCGAGTTTCCATACAGACGCCCAACTGGACAAAGATATAAAAGAATCGCTTTTAATGGACACCTTCAACATGCTGAACCTCCACCACTACGACAAGCGTAAAATAATTGAAGAGGATCGAAAAAGAGTGAGAGACCGATTGCTACAGGGTATCAACGGGAAAGACCTCAGGTAGCCCCTTGAAAATTCCACCCACGGAGTTCAAATTTTCCAACAGACAAATATTGTGAAAATTAAATATAGTGTGAACGATACTGTAGGCCCGTCGAAGGTAGAAGAGAAATCCCTGCAGGAGCATCATAAGTGGGAGGAAGAGCACATGGGTAACTACCGTCGGATTTACCCTTGCAAAGACGACGAGAAATACAATGCCTTCTTCAAACAGAGCAGTACGTCAATGTTCCAAGACACAGCAGCCTCCAGGGCACGAGAGGAAGCGTCGAAACTTCAACGAGAAGAAGCAATAGTAATATTTACAAAATTACTAACTTCTCAAGTATCAAAACATCCGCCTATTCCTAATTAATAGGGAAAACCTTAATTACTCGAGACATTCATTGAACTTCATTTTACTATTAGTCACACTGATTTATCGAACTCACTTACTCACGCAAACTGGATTAGCGGAGCTGACCACAACTGGTTCACGTACTCTATTCCATTAAGGAGATTATGGAGCCTTAAACTATTTCAGGAAAAATCTAGGGTTGTGGGGTGTGGGTTGGAAAATGGCATTGAGTGGGGCTTTTAACGGTTTCGTTATTGAAGATGATTTCATTAGCTGCGGGAAAATGAAGGAGATTGCGTAACATTAATGATGTTGAATATTTTATCAAAATATCAAGGCTCTGGGGAAACAATTAATCTGTGTGAATTTGATTATCATGTTCAGATGAGAATGAGGGAGGAGGAGAGTAAGCGGACGGCTGCGAAATGGGATTCAAAGATTGAAACGGAGAGTCCCAGGGGTTCGAGAATCAATTCAATGTCAGCTAGGAACAAACTCAGCTCGATGATATCGAAGAAATTGACTCTGGCACCTGCGGTAAATCTCATTTTACAATTCAATCAACTGGATTATTGAATTTAATGTGATTTACAGGTGAAAAAATCGAGGGAGCATGTGCCAATGGCGGACAGCATTTCGTCTTTTCTCCCAGAAATAATAATTGAGAGTGAGGAGAGAGAACGGGTCGCTTCATTAACCCAGCGGGATTTCTTGATAAAAAGCCATGGGATACTCCAGGAGATTTATTTAGCTATGAAGAAAAATGGTACTCTTCGACCTGGTGATATTAAAAAATATGGGATGTATGGTAAATTGGGTCAGGGGAGTGAGTTCTATCCGAATGGTGAAGCGAGTCAGAGACGTCAAATCGATGATCAGCTGGAATCAACTCATGGCGAGAGGGATCAACCCCCCCTCGGGAAAAATTGTAAGAAGTTGAAGAAAAATTCCACTCTCTCTGTGATTGAACGCTTCGACGATTTATCGTGATTGTTTTCTGTCGAATTAATCGTAGCTTTTCTTTGATTTCATTGCTAATCATTTCTGGAAGTTTTTCTTCTCTAATTAATTCGAATTGGACTAATTTAAAAATATTTTTCTCTCTCTTTTCAAACAACAAAAATCGTTAATCAAGCATTCTGAGATTGGGGATAATATCTAACGAAGTACAATTCCATAGAGCGTCAAGATATTCCATTAAAACTTGTCGACTCCGGATGATTTGGGGGCCTGAATAAATACAGTTCACACCCAGCGAAAACCTCTTGTGAACTCCTGCCGTATTTGCTTCCACCGTTGAAATTTCAAATTGAATTTCAAAACTACTCTTATCTCTACACGTAAAAATTCAAGTGCAGATTGAATTCATAAATTCATACAGTGGATCTGTAATGTATAACAACCTTTATTGCTGATATATATTTTTATATTCACATGATAAAAAATAAACTATGAACAATTTTTGTTGTGAGTCGGGTTAATTTTCTTGTTCATTGCCTTTTTAAAATCTTTTTTTTTCACTTTAGTATTTTTTTGTGACTGTGAAGAATATATAGATGTATATGATAATAATATGATGTAGGTAATGGGTTTCTCCTGCCGTTTATAAAGTCACTGACTCAATCAATATAAATTGAACATGATAGTCCATACGTTCCTTTAAGAATTAAAAATTTTCCGCTTTACAAATCGAAGTAAATTGGATGAATATTGTAAAAAATTTCAGTTTTGTCATTTCGATCATCGCCTATTATTAAAAAGAAATATATCTGTGATACGTACGAGTTAATCAGGCCTTTAATATCTTTTATACAGTACCAATTGGTATTATCAATAAGTTTTTTCTTCCAATAATTATCTCAATGCAAAGCTTACTTGAAACGCATGCACGAACTCCATGTTCTATTACATTAGGATCTGATTTGTTCTATTTACATTCAACCCCATCAATTAAATTATAGGAACGTCACATGTCCCAGAAAGTCTCCACATCACAAATTGTTTTAGGCTCCGTCTTGTCCTTCCCATTCATTAAACGGAGAAATGATTAATTACTTATGTACAAAAAGTAAATGTGAGATTACATCTCTCATCTGATAGGTGTCAGAATAGACTTGTTATTTTCAACTTCTTTGTTACCGATTAAAAACAAAAAATTCATCGACCGGCTAGTAGACGGGGTACTTCACTCGATAAACACGCGACGATTTGCGCAAAACATGGCAAATAATTCATATCCATTATATCTGCGCGAATGTATCTCACATGTTTACTTATCTGAACTCTTCGTAGAAAATAGTGACGTAAATATTTACAACTTACATGAGATTGTAGTGTGCGAGGGGTTATTCATTGTCGAGTATCGTGACCCAATGATTGTGCATTTTACATGATTTTGGGGATTAATTGATCTCATGTGACTTCCCGAGGTTTTTATCCCTATTTCATGATTTCAAATTTTCCATTTCATTATTTGGGACGAATGGCAAAATGTGCTAGGTCCCCGACATAAGCTTATACACAGAATTGTACATGCTCAACGGCGACTTGTGATTCTCGGAGAATGTCGATTTGCTTGCAAAATCTTGGAATGCGACAGAGTCGAGTTTTAATTTCTTGTGCTACTGAAAAATTTTACTGAGAATGTGTCTATGTTAGTGAATGAAATTTCGAGTCACATGATTTCTGATTTCATGTGATTTCAATCCAAAGTAATAGTGAGATCACCAATGGATAACCCCCCTCGGTACAGCGTCACCGATACCCATTCAAATTGCGTTCGATATTAAAGAAGAGATGTTTGAATTTCTGTCTTAGGCTCTGTGACCCATAAAGAAGAATTATTAGCAATGCTTAAATTTCAGAATAATTTTTTTCATTTTTTTTTTATCGTTTGTACAAATAATACAAAATTTTTAATACACGAGTTTAGTGATGTTATCCTGCTGAATTGAGTATCCAGTTATTCCAGTAATGCTTTTCAATTTTTCACAACTGGAAAAATCGGATGGCTTCATATGACTGACGTACTCAAATTAATTGGTGACAAATGAAAATAAAATAAAATCATGTAAAAAAGTACTTGGCAATGGATAGTCTATTCGTTGTAATACTAATAATATGAGCATTATGTTATATATAGAATCCTGTTTTTTGTAATATCTATTTGTTTTAATGACGCATGATTAAACTATAATAATTCTTAATGAATAAAACGATGAGTTACTAGTTTGTTAATTATTTTTTCTCGCAGAATATCCCCTAACAATTGAAAATAATACAGAAAATAATCCTGTACAATTACATGTGAACACGTTAATTCCACGCCTAGCTGCCATTTCGAATTTATCTCCAAGAAAAACTTGTCCAATTCGTCATCATTTTATTAAAAAGATATAAGTTACCCTCTGTGGAATTAATTCTGGCAAGAAACTATTTTTGCTCTCGTCAAATAGAGAAATAAAAAGAGAGAGAAAAAAAAAACTAATTGAAGATTAAAATTAAAAACCATCTTTAGGCTAGCATCATCTCTCAAAAATTGCGTAAGCTATTTATCCATGAGAAATTAATATACAATTTGATGTACAGGCCAGTGCATACTTTTTAAAAATACAGATTTACACAAGAAGAAACTTTCTCAATAGGGTCCAATTAAAATGGAAATAAAATCACAGATCATAATAATTTGTTTTGGCCAAAAGAATGATTAAAAAATCCTAGTTTACGCTTTTCATTTTGTACCAATTATTCTCTGGGTTCTATAATTGCGTTAGTTTATACAGATAGACACCCATTGGAATACGAATTCCTGGCGATCAGCTCTTAGACAATAATGCTTAGAATAAAAGACTCGAAGTATCTCTTCGCGTTTGCTTTTTACAATTTACTTTGTCACGTTATTTTCAGTGTGCTTTTATTTCTTTCGAGCTAACGGAGATCTGTCGGAGATGCAAGATTCGGTGAAACGTATTTCATTTGAGAGGAAAATTTAATTTACACTGCTCGAGTGAAAAACTGGCAAGTGTACGTCAGCATCTGAGCCACATTTACACTCAAATTGTAAACGTCACATAGCCTGCTCGCACTTGCAGTGAAATATCCTAAGTTTTCAACAAGTTAAAGCTAAAAGTCATTAACAAACATCGTAGGCTCCATATTGAATCGTCCAGTGGCGATTTCCCTTCGGCCCTCCCTCCCCCTCCTCGATTTTCCCGATTATCTTGCACAGTATTCAGAGTGAAGTGCGTGAGTTCAGTGCTGTTTGCACACCATATTTTCCATCTCCAATTTTCTTATTAAAAAGTGTGTAATATAGAGTAATAAACTTTAACAATTTGTCACTTGTGTGTCCGTGGAACGACCAACTGTGAGGTGTTATGGCTTGAATTTGACCAGAGGTATGTTTTTAGACTGTAAACACTTATCACACACCCATTCCGCGTAAACCTCTTGTGTTAGTAGCTGGAAGGCTGCTTCTGATAATCCTGAACATCCTCTGGTATTAAAAAAAGAAACATTTATTAATTTCATATTCCCCACTGTTTTCCCCATAAGCGTCAAACATAAGCCATTATCCCCTTATTAGGATTTTTTCCTATTAAAACCTGAATAGTTTCAAATTAACAAAAAAAAACCATTAAATTGACTGCCACCACAACATTTAATAATCATTAATAGATCGTGAATAATTCACCTGTGAAACCAGAAATTACAGCCAGATTCACAAAGGATTCCCTGATCATTATCATGCACTTCTTTGTGGCATACACCACAAGGATAAATAGGCGGTGCATTTGGGTTTTGCGAGTTGAAAACCATGGGTTGATCAGCAGGATAGATCTGCAATGGAAAAACGTGCAATTTATTTTTCTGTCCGCTCAAGACCCTCGCGCTAATTCAGTAGCTAAGGGGCAAAGAATAATACATCGATTTAGCAACTCAACAAATTTTAAACCAATTCAATTCTGAATCTGGCCGAGATACCAAAATATTTGTGCAGATGATTTTTGTAGTTCTCATTGGACTCTAGAAAAGCGGTCTTCACAAGAATTTCGTGATATCCCTCAGGATCCAAGATATTATAAATATAAATCAAAATGATATCTCCTACAATTTTTTAAATGAATCTAAAAGCCATTGGTGCAAATGTACTGACCTTTCCCGCAGAAACAGGCATGGGTTTGGGTCCCATACCAGGAGGTCCCTGGAAGCCATGAGGGGGCATGTTGCCAGCCATACTCATGGGATGGCCCATGGGTGGTCCTCCACTCATGTTATTCCCCATGCCCCCCATGGGTCCACCCATATGTCCCATTTGATTGGGATGTGGCATGTTCATATTGGACATGCTGTTCATGGAAGGGCCGCCCATGTTCATGTTGCTCATGGAATTAGACCCAGACATGTTCATGTTATTAGGTGCCATAGAGCTCATGGTGGTCATGGGTCCATTCATGGGTCTTCCTAAATTACTGAGATTATTTCCCATATGATTGGGATGCGGTTGTGATCCATTGTGGTTTAACGGGCTGTTAACATTGTTCATGGGAGGCCCATTGAGTGGACTGTTAGGCGGCATATGGCTGTTAATGTTGTTGATATTAATTGGTCCATTAGGCATGTGATTGTGATTGTTTCCAGGGATGCTATTCATGGGTGAGCCCAGAGGCCCACCCATCGGACTCCCCATACTGTGGCCCATATTATTCATGGGACTACCCATGGGTCCACTGTTCATGGGACTGCCCATTGGTGGACCACTCATCGGTGCATTTCCCATGTGGCCCATATTCATGTGATTGTTCATACTGTTCATCGGCCCCGGTGGCATGTTTGGGCCCATATTGTTCATGGGGCTCATGCCTCCCATGGGTGAGTGATTCATCGGGGACATACCACCCATGTGATTTATATGATTGCCCATCGGTGAGTTGCCCATTGGACTCATATTTCCCATGTTGTGGGGCATCATTGGGGACATTCCACTCATTGGTGTCAATGGACTCATTCCTCTCATCGGTGGACCACCCATGTGGTGAGGATGGTGAGGGTGCATGTGCGGTGGGCCACCGTGCATCATTGGATTTTGAGCACTTTGAGGTGGCGTATCGTCGAATGGATTACTCGCCACTATTGTGTCACCGTAACCCGAGAGAGGTGGGGGCAATAAATCCTGTAATTAATTTCATTTTCGTGACTTTTTGGTCAATGAAAATTTTTCAATGGAGTGCGATCGAATGATGAAATTTTCATTAACGTTTAGGTAAAGAGGAAAAGGAGGGGGGGGGGGGCGTGAATGGTTGACATTTTCGTGTCAACTATTGGCTTGATGTCTGTAGGCTGAAGGATTCTGCTGTTTTCCATATTGGGCCTCAAGGACACAGTTCCCCGTGATGCTTGGTGAGGCAATGGAGGGAGAGGTATTACGAAATTTTAGTATTTCTGATTTTTTTCGCTGGAGATCGAAATGGGGAACCATACTAATTAATATTTTCGTGTATGCTGGAATAGATTAATGCGAGGTGAGTGTGGAAACGTTCTTTGAAAACGTTGGGGTCATTAGATGTTGATTTATTTAAGCAGACATTCAGGGGACGTAAAGCTAGATGAAAGAGTTAATGAGTTGAGTATTTAAATTGACTTTAGTTTGAGGGATTGAAGAATTGAAATACAAATTCTATCTGCAGATTCGATTTCTCCCTATAGAAAAGAGGAAAAATGTTTCTCGGGATATTTGAGGATTTATGAATTTTGAGATATAAATTCAGTTTAACCAGTCTCCCGTCTGCGCTACTGAGCTGCAGTAAAACGAATAATTCATAAATCATCCTTACATCAATTCGCTAATTTGTGACATCTTGAGAGGTAATTCGTAATCGATAAACTGGTGCCTCAGCATTGTAAAAGGGTATTAATTTTTCAATGACTTTTGAGAAAAACACAACCTCAATATCCTTCATTTTAACTCTAAACTATTCAGTTGGGTATTGATTTTGCGGAGATTGCAGTAGTGAAAAGGTAAAATGATTCGTTGATAACTATTCTCCACCCAAAGACTCTCCATGATAATCAAACTGCATCCCCTAAATTCAGAGAGATAAAATACATAGTATATTTATGGATGGCTGTCGATTTACGCTTGAGCTAATTGTGACTAATTTAGACAGCACTTCTAAACGTCTATTTCCTAATCTGCGATAGCTTTCAGAACTAAACTGACACTGAACTTATAGAATATCACATCTGGTGATTTGCCCTAATTTCTAAACTCCTCAAAATACCTTGAAAACTCTATTATCCCCTAGTAACGGAAGCATCCTGTGAATTAATTATGGGATCAAGACCCTGACATGCAACACTCTCGTCATTACCATGATCCATTTGAGGAGTTGACCAGTGGAAAACTCGATAATCCATAAAATCAATTAAATCATTGTACCTGGACCGTCGGTGGTGGCTGTGGTGCCGGTGGTGCAACATTGGCATTAGTCCTTCTCTTCTTCTTAGGATTAGCACCGGCTGGTGGTGGTAACGGAGGATGAGGATGGGCATTTGGCTCTGGATGTGGAGCATTTGGTCCCATGCCCACTCCCATGCCCATACCACCTAGCGGCATCCTGGTAAAGGGTGGCATGCCTGCAATGTTATGGCTCATCTCCCTTTATACTTTTTTTTATTTTCTCCCTTATTTTATCATGCCGGGAGAATTAATACTATGGCTCTCTCTTGTCATCCAGAGTGCTTCCCTCACTGCAATGAAAAATTCTCACAATTAATTTACACTATTCACCAATAACGCAATCACAAACAATTCAATTACATATTCCATTCGAACCCATTTCCCTCCAATTGTTCATTGAGAACCCAAGACCATCCACTCTGAAACGAAAACAACAGTTGTGTATTTCTGTCATCTCAGATCAGAGGGGATAACTTAATAAATGTGATATCTGTGCATGAAATGGCGTCAACCTAAAGCCAATGCCAGTAGCTTTCGTATATCTAAAAAAAAAGAAAGTAAAAAAAAAGAGACGAAAGCAAAAGGCCGAGCTTCGACTGATGCCAGTTTTCTTCGTAAACCAACCTAACCTACATTTTTTTATAGCGCACTCGCATAAGTTGTATTTATTTATAGGTTCCAATGCAATATTCATCCTCGTAAAACGGCGAAATTGATCGAAATAGAACGTACCAGAGCATTATCGCAAGGTGATGAAGCCCATACACATGATACCAAAAGTTTTCTCTTATTATTCGGCAAAAGAATAACACAGAAAAGATTGTGTTTCGTTTTCACCTAGCTAACTTCGGTCAACTGCCAACACTGCGCTTCAGGTCCTTCTTCTCCGCGTCACATACATTCTACGGTTTTAGTCGTATCTTTTCATGGCACATTTACTGGCATATACTTAATTACACTAGACACTGCTCTTCGATTATCTTTGGAGAATGAAAATATTATCGTATTTATGGATTTAATGTCAGCACTTTAGGTAGCAATGACCATTGTCGAACACTGGTAACTCCGTATTTCTATGTGTTGGTTTATGACTTTCCTCCGGAGATCGAAGTTGTAGATTGCACTGGCTAGATGGCGCCATGGAGACGCATTGCCCCAGCTCTTTATCGCCATCCAGACCCCGGGAAAACATGTTTTTTTTTCAAAGAGTTATCGCCGATATCTTCACATTTGTCATTTTTGTTTTTGCACATTTCTAGAGCCATGGATCAGATGGAGGTGATAAATCATACAACTTTTAGCTTTCATTATCTAATGACTCAATTTTTATAGTTCTGCGTCTATTTTTCATAATATTTGGGAACGTTGCAAGGATTCTGGAGAACGTGGAAATGCAGTGTCGAAAGATAAGCATATCAATGCACATTGTATTTTTTAATCTGGAAAAAGAACAGATTAATTTTTGAATAACATGAATAGATGCAGCGTAATACAGTATTCATGTGAATAATAGGAAAATGCGCGGGATCAAAAATTCCGTAAATTACGTTTGAAATCTCGTATTTTAAGTATATCGTTTTCTGTATGAATACTGCAGAAATTTATTATTCTACCTCTTGAAAATAAAAAAATTATATCCGAAGATATCCCGGAAAAATAATGGACAATTGTCGTTATCAGCTGAACTAAATAAAATTCGCACAATGTAAAAATTTTATGAATGGCTAATTCGCCATTCATTTATCTTCCACCAGGAAAACAGATTCGTTATTCCCAGGAAAAAATGGCGGCGTTTTTTCTCTAGTTCTGTGTTAAAAATTTATAGAAAATGTTTCTGCATGGATAAAGATAGAAAAACTGATTGATCCATAACAAATCGAGAGTAAATTGTACAGTATAACCGGAGGACTATTGTATTTTTATACTGACAGAAAAAAAAGTTTCAGAAAAACTTCATCTGCAAGACTCTTTCAATGAAAACTTGAGAAACGAGAGAGATTCATCGACATCTATATTAGAGCGTGGAAGAATTACAAAATGATTGGAATTATACGAGACGAAGTACAAGGAATCCAAGAAATTGTCTTTTGCTGCAGATACGAGTTTCTATCGAGAAAACCTTCTTCTCCTTTCATTGATCAGTTAAAGCTTGTTCTAATTATCCTCTCCATTTTTCCTTGACAGGAATCGCATTGTTTCCATCGCATTGAAGCTCTAATTGAATGTACACTTGTAAATCTTCATTCCTCAAGCCCCTGAAGTGAGGAGTTTAACGTAAAAGGCTGAATCGAACCCCTGGGTAATCCAAACTTGCCATTGATGAGGCAGAAGTGATTTTCACCCTGTCACACCAATCGTTAAATGGGAGGTACACCCTCCTTCTCCTGTCATCCTGTTATACGCTTAGTTCGACACTTTAATCGAAATTTATGTGAACACTGGCCGTATGAAACCCCAACAGCTCAACACCAGATTTGAAATCAATACTCTTTCGATCAATTCAATTTCAATGGACAATACTTCATTAAAATATTTCACGTTCCGTGATTATTCGGATGATTCACTCGACATGGCATAACTACAAATGTAGAAAATTGTCACAGTGACAGTTTCAATGTGGACTGTGGATTAAATTCGATTCACTCATCGAATCGACAAAACTTCTTTTTATCTCACCAAATAGTATTTTTTCCACATTGACGATGGGAAAATCATTCAGCCGTCGATTTTCACGTGATTGCAGTTTTCTGTTCTCTGGAATTTTTACTCCAGGAGACAGGGATTAGTTTCTCATCATCAAACATCCGTTTCAAACTATTGAATTTTGGGGAGTAGATTTGGGGGATTTTCAGCGAGAAAAAAAAATTGATTGTGACGCCGGTGAGAATGAGTTACATTTGCACATGTCGCATTGTCATAGCTTGTGGCACCGCACTCCATGTCGAAATTTAATTTGTTGAAAATACTGCCAGAACGTATATTTCAACGCTACATTAATTCTGATAGACGGGATTATTCTGTTACTATGGGTAAAATTCGTAACATAATTCTTTTTTAATATTAAAGTTGATTCAAACATTTCCGTTCTCAGCGTTAGAGAAGTACATTTTTATCTCCTATATAGTGTAGATGAGTTTTTAAATGAATTTTCAATCCAATTAAATTATAGCCAGGTGCCTCGAACAGCTTTCCCTTATAAATCAACGGATGAGTTAATAAATTAATTCCTCTCTGTAATGACAATTTTTTTATATTCTCTCTCGAAAACCGTTTCATATTAATGCCAACGGATGAAAAATAATTCACCGACTACTTTAGTTTCAATTGTAGTCTCTTGTTGATGCCGATAAGAGTTACTCCGGGAGCATTGCTCGCTGGTGAATATATAAAATGCCCATCTCATTATTCAATAAACGAGTGTGACATGAGTGTAAAATGTCACATTTTAACCGAGAGAAAGTACGTACATCCACTGTACAAAAACTCATCCTCGATGTCACGTTAAATCTTATAATATTTACCAGTTTTTGCTCGTCCCCCAGACCAACTAGAATCTCACAAAAACTCAGTAACTTGGCTGCAATGAAACAGAGAGTAGTAGGTGTTTAATCACGCCACGTATCCGCAATTTTAACTTTCTAATAACAGTGACATTTTTTCGCTTTCACTCGAATGTGATTCAACCGACTAAAACCCTCAACGATATTAAAATGGAAACCGAAAAAAGGGATTTCATCGGGGATGAGAGTAAATGAAACATACGAATAATCCAGTGGTTAAAATCGTTGCAAAGTGTTATCTACACCGACTATGGCTGCGAGTGTCAAGAGCCCTCAGGATACTCTCTCGCGTCCAAACGATTGATTCTCGAACCTCAACTTCTGTCGGCATATTTTTAAACTGGGTCGTCCACTTTGCGATGTGGAAAAAAACAAAATAACGCGGCTACTCGGTGAAAAACGGAAGGGCACGAAAAATATGACAAAAAACACATTCCCTGAAGAGGTGCAGAAAAATCTATTCCAATGTGGCAAACCCACCGAAACAAATGGATTCCACAAACACCAACATCCCCCGCTCCAACATCCCCCGCTCCACCAACAAAAAGAGGAGAGTAAAAATGGACATAACAAGAATAACAATTTCTGGGGGAATAGTCAGGGTGCAAATCAATCTCGCTTGCTGGACACGTGTTCTGAATAAGAAATAGACTATTTGCTCGAATTACGGGTGCAAATGTTCGAAGGGCGCAAAGAAGGGAGACAATGAAATATCTCGGTCAACGTAATAGCCATAAACGAGTACTAATGTCATTCACGGAAGCAAATTAATTTCCTGAGTAATTGGTATTTTTTTTTAATTTAGGGTAATTGGAATGTGCGATAGATTTCTTTTCGTATTCTTTTCTCCGTTGATCTCATTGATTTTGCAACAACTTTCACCCACCGAGTGTCTCACAAATCCTTTCTCCCGCATTCGAGAGATACTGAAAGTTTTTAATAATCGAGTATTGTATTTTCACCCAGGTCTTTCTCCGTGATGTCTGTACATGTTTTATATATGTTCATATGGGTTCACAGACATTACTCCACTGCTTTTTCCATTTCAAACTCGCAATAAATGCGGTGGTTCGTTCTTTTGTTGGGGGGATTCGATAATAGTCCTAGTGGTATGAAGGATAAAAATTGGAAAA